GAAGCGTCAGCCCAGGAACCCATTCAGGGACAAGCTGGTGAATGAGAGGCTTATCAGCATTGCCTATGGACAAATCGGTAGGTGAAATGAAGATGTCATCCCCTGAGCCAGGCTATGAATTGTTTTTGTTCCGGATTGAAGTTTGATCTTGGTTGCCTGGAAGTAATTTTGCTGTAGGATTAACTTTATCCCCCTGGGAAGTTTCCCAAATAACTTCAGCAGAATTATGTTTGGACCAATGTGCAATGTTTTAGGGCCAACTACAGGAAGTGAGATTTAAACAAAAAATCTGTTTCTCTGTTGTTGTTTTTTTTCTCCAGGTATGATCCAGGCTCTTGGAGGCTTTTTCGCCTACTTTGTCATCTTGGCCGAAAATGGTTTCCTGCCCAGTATACTTGTGGGCATCAGGCTCAACTGGGACGACCGCTCAGTCAACGACCTGGAAGACAGCTATGGCCAGCAGTGGGTAAGTGTGTCGTTTGTTACCTTCTAAGTGTATTTCAGAATTGACTTTGTTCACTATGTAACTGTTTGTTCATCCTCTCCTGAACCTCAGACATACGAGCAGAGGAAGATAGTGGAGTTCACATGCCACACAGCCTTCTTTGTCAGTATTGTGGTTGTGCAGTGGGCTGATGTCATCATCTGCAAGACCCGGCGTAACTCTGTGTTCCAGCAGGGCATGAGGTGAGTCCAACATCTCTGCGGCGATACAATTGTACTAATCTATACACTATATACGGTACTATAATATCCTTTTGCTGGCAATCATTTGCAAAGTATAATTTTGAATGACTTACAAGTATTTTTATTTCTGCACTGTCAGTTCTCCCTTTCAATATTTCTTGTGTTTCTCAACCCAGGAACAAGATCTTGATCTTCGGCCTGTTTGAAGAGACAGCCCTGGCTGCCTTCCTGTCCTACTGCCCAGGCATGGACGTGGCACTCAGGATGTATCCTCTTAAGTGAGTGCTTCTACCATATGTATCATATTGAATCCCCATGATATTAAGACATGTGCTATAGCATATTTACATGACTATTTTAATCGTGTCTTTTTCTTGTTTTTGCCCACAGGCCTAGCTGGTGGTTCTGTGCGTTCCCATACAGTTTCCTCATCTTTGTTTATGATGAAGTCCGAAAACTTCTCCTTCGCAGGCACCCAGGAGGTTTGTATTTTTTTCCCCCAATTAGCAAATAATCATTAAGAAAATGTTTAAATGTTTTTAAAGATATGCAATATGTAGATTTTACATCTAGTTATAACACATTTATCAGTGAGTGTTAAAGGTGCTGGTAGTCAGATTTAGTTGTCTTTGGACCAGGCTAGCGCTTTCTCCTGTATTCAGTTTTTGTTACAAGCTAAACGTGCTGCTGCCTCAGCTTTATATCGTATTATTTTAACGTATGGTTATTATTTTGAATCATTTGGCAACTGTGACTTGTGAACTAACGGTGAACTTCCCTGTGTTGTTCTTTCTCTCATGTGCACTCCAGGTTGGGTGGAGAGGGAGACATATTATTGATCGATGGAGCATCTTTGCTCAACCCCCCTCCATCTTCCACTTATTTCTCCCCCCTGTCACTCCATCCCTGGCAAGACACACCTCCAGACGCCCGCCCCCTTAAAGACAAAAATGGCTTTGAAGCAATTTTCATCACAACTTCCCCAAAGATTAAAAACAGCAAAAGCACCTTTACAACTTTCTACATTGACCGACCCCTTTCCCTCCCTGCCCCCCCCATCTCCTATGATACTCCTTGCATGTGTTCTCTCACTGCTGTGTACATAAACCAATATATCTACCAAACGGCAGCTGCATATTGTGTATGTAGATTTGAATGAGCTAAGGATACAAAGAGAGTGTCTATGCTCTGCAAAAAAGGGCCATCCAGCTCCTTACCCTCCCTGGTACTCCCCTGCTCTCTTCCCCTCGTATTTCTCTATACCTTTGTTCCTCTCTTCTCCCCCTCATCCTCCTCTTCGCCAACCCTTTGCTTGTCCTCCAATCACACACAGAAACAAAGATCACACAGTGAGATCCCAACACCAACACCACTTCGACTGCCACCTCTTGCCTCTTGTCTCCTGTCTGTGGAGGACCAGTGGAGTGGTCATTTCCTGTCGTTCTCGCTGCGACCATTTTCTTTCTCTTATGTTCTCGACGGCCACAGCGTTGTTGTTTTTTAATATGTGGGGTACAGGGGGGGTTTCGATGATTTTACTTGTCTTTTTTATTTATAAGACGAGAGGGGGGGAATGTGAGAGCTGCTTTTCCCTCATTTAGGTCTGACAAAGCACACCCCATGGCGTCCTGTGCCCCCCTCTCTCCCCCTGTCTGCCTGTCTCTCACACACCTCCTCTCCCCGCCCTCCTGCCCCGTTTGTCTCTGTTTGTGTGCACTGTGTGAAACATTGTCCTTGTTAATAACTATTACAGTACACCCCCCAAATCCCCCTCCCCCAAGTTGGTAAATACAACTCAATCTTTCTGTGTGCTCTAGGAAATCTATATAATTCTATACTGAATTTAAATGAAACAATAAAAAAACACATGTTGGAAAAACAGCTCGACAGAGACATTCATAAAGAACTTCACCAATGTTTGTGAGAGAGGGAAAAAAAAAAGAAAAGTGTGTCTCTCTTTTTGTTTTTTTTTGTTTGGTTTCAGTTATTTAGCTGGTTTTTCGGGAGGCTCCTCTGATACTGTAACAGCAGAGCCGGTTTTTCGCTTGTGTTTTTACCTAAAGACACAAGAAACCAACCAAGGCTTTCAGGTTCCTGTCACTGCAGGTGTGCCGGTATGATGTGGTGTGGTGAGTGGTGATGATGAGTCCACGTGCCTGGGGGTCTATAACCGGATCAGGTCCAGCTCTGGCGCAGTCCAGGTCTGGTCTGGCCCGGGTCTGTGTGCATGTATGTGTTGGAGACCAGTGAAGGGCCAGCGGTCTCTGGCTGGGTCCATCTCAGATGGCTGCAAGAGTCGAAATCCAAGAGAAAAAAAACACGACTAGTAGAACATGTGTGTCAAATAAATGAAACCAACACTAATAAAACATCTAGAACATTTAATACAACCTAGACCCGTCTGTGTGTCTTTCTATCTCTGTTTTTATCAATTCATTTATGACTCACTCTTTTTAATCAGACAACAGAATACTTTTCTATTTAATCTTTACATGCCTTAGTCTTTCTTTTTCTTCAATGCTCCTTCTTGGACATGATTAATATGCACTACCCACATGAATATTACATACACATAACATATATAAAATATAAGGACCCTGTGTCATTTCTTAAAATAAACTGTAACAAATACTGCTCTTGCTAAGCCTGTTACATTTTAAATACTTTACACAATAGATGTTGATTCATTCCTATGATAAAATGTGAATATTAATTATGTGTTGAGCTATAAAAACATAAATAATGAGCTGTATACTATGTAGCCCTATCTCACCTCATGTATACAGCATACAGTGATCTTATATATCAGTCTATCATTTCAGCACTATGTTGGATACAACGTCCAACACTTTTTAATTTCACCTGTGAATATTATGCACATTGACATCTCTATGTAGGCTCCAAGTCACTCAGGTCAAAGTAAATTAAAGTTGAATCCAAAACCATTGATTAGCTGGGGCGTGTATATGTGAGGCTTATTTGTTCAACATAGCAGTGTGCACAATAGCGGAACACAAATTAGAAACATGGAGGATGGGATGCCACCTAGTGTTGAGTTTATTAGCACTCCTACCTGCAAACTGCATAATGTTTAACTGTTTTAGCGAGAGTTGGCAGGAAGGGAGAGTTGGCAGCATCCCAGGTTGATGCACCAAACCACTCTGAACATGTCAGCCCTGTCTGACACAGACGTGGAGATCACTGTGAAAGATAGAGTCTAAGAAAAAGAGAACAAATGCCCATAAACGCAAGAAGAAAAAAAAATGCTGCATGTCGTTCCCCAGTCTCTCCTCCCAACAATTCTATAAACGTGGATCACAGGACTGTCCGTTCTGATGGTGGTGATGGCAGGAAACATATATATATATATATATATATATATACACACTTATAATAAAAATAAATTGTGCATCAATCATATGTTCAGTAAGTAGGAACTGATTTTCTGATTAAAGTTATTTTCCAAAAGAAAGATTTCTTGGAATCAAGCAAGGTAGTATATCTTTAATCTTAAGGGAGCAGACTGTAATTGTGTTGCCTCTCTGTGCCACAAGGGTCATCTATTTTATATGAACCTCTTATTGCCCACCTAGTACACAAATCAAGCATATTATAACTAAAGATACCGCTCTATAATGTGAGAGGTATAGATTTTATGCTCCAAAAGCTAACCTTGCCATTTCCTGTGAAAATTTAGGACAAGTCCCTTTCAGTCAAAAACTTTCTTTCAGTGCTCTAGTATCAACCAATGACAAATACAGTGTCTCCAACTCATACATACACACGCGCATAAACACACATGCACACCCACTTTCTGACACTCTCACACTGACCAACACACACGCTCTCACCCTCTCTAATTTCCCCTGTGTCTCTGCAGTGAGCTCACTGCAGTGAGACACCCCCCTCCCACCCACCACCCACCATCCACCATCCACCCACACCTCCCCCTTGCCACCCTCCGTATAATAGAATATCGATCGCTCGCCTTTGCCGCAGTGTGTCTGTGGACGAGTTTGTGTCTGACTGGGGCCCTCCAAGGTCATCGCCATGGCAACATGAGCATGGGGTCCTCTTACTGTGCTGTCACAGAGCAAGAGGTCACAGGGGTCACATGAAAAAGGGGGGACAAAAGGGGGGACCACAGGGCGGACAAGAGGGGGTTGGTGAGTGCTGCAGTGTTTGGTGTGCTGGAGATAGAGAAGAAGAGCGACGAGGGCTGCAACTGTCCTATTCCACTGTGTATTCAGTCCGGAGCACAATAAAGGCAAAATCTAAGACTTAAAGTTGGGTACAACAAAAAAACAAACATATTAACATCAGCGGTTTATTGCACTTCCATGATGTCATTGAAATACAAAAACACCCAACTTACATCGATGTGTAAACAAATGAGTAAATGTTTCAAAAAAACCTTTAGAAAGTAAAGCTGATAAATATGCACACAGACAGTCAGCAAAGTACAGTGCAATCCCCAATGCAATCCCCCATAATATACTGACCTTTTAAGATGTCCTTCCATCAAGCTAGCTATGTTAATGACCCCTCCTGAAGTACCAAAGGGTTTCCTTTGTCGATTCCCTTGAATTAAATCTTATTTTCTTTGTACATAATCATTATCAGAGATAAAAAAAAATTAGCTTTAAATGGCACTTTTGCTTTGGAAAATCTTTTTTTTTCAATTGTTAAGAATAGCAAACATTGCATTACCTATATAATTGTTGCATAAGTTAAATATAAGTTTGCAATTGAGTCAGATGGTTTTAGACGAAGAGGCTGAAGAAATTTACAGCAGATAAAAGAGCACAGAGAGTCCTAAGCTGAGAGATATGACACAGTTTAAGAGTCTGCTTGACACAAACCAGAGGCATACATGTTAGAAAATATGTAGAGAGAGGCTTATAGTCTGCATGAAAATGTGCTTAAATACTCATGAACAATTCATTTGTGCAAATTGGAGGTGAACTGTATGAATAAGTTTGAAAAAGCTATACAGTCTGCAACAGCCACGACTTCAGAGGCAAGACAAGGTGCATTCTTAAAACACTAGGTAGGATACTAGGAATACAGGATGCACAGAAAGATAAGGAACAGATCTAGAAGCAGTTTTTTTCCTCAACCCCTCCGAGCTTACATTATTACAGGGTCAAAGTGATGACTGATAGTTGAGCAGCACCTGCTGAGAGTTCAGCCTGTTCTTCACACAGGTTCCATGAAGAGCTCTTCCATGTCAGATCCCTCCAGCTCACGGAAACCAGCATGAGTGCCAATCACAAACAGCGTTGCTCCTGAGAGGAGACGTGACAAATGAAAAAGGGGGAATGTGAGGAGAAAAACAAGAAGAGAGAAGGGGTTTGTAAACAGACGGTGTCCGTTTGCAGCTACAAATTCAGAATTTTACAGCAGGATGTGCTTTCAAAACCCACTTATCACAAATGACATGAAAAGTCTTTTAAAAAATATTCCTAAACGTCCTGAATATAAATGAATGAGGGAAAACATTAAATTGTCAGGCTTACCCAGGACCCAAAAGACGGCAGCACCAGCTCCGGCCAACCAGAACACAGGTAGAGAAAGAGCTCCAGCCAGACTCATCTGGTGAGGGACATTCAGCTCCTTGCCTGGTTTGTATGAAAATTACAGATTTATTTACACAGATAGGATCTTGTTCTCCCTTTTGCAGGTCTGGTTAAGTTGACTACTGAAAGATATAGAAAGGTGGAGGATAAACAGGATAAATGTACATGCTCAGCCTAGTCTATAATTTGTATAGGACACAATAATGGTGTGCATGGGTAAAGTTTCAACAGTTGCAAACTACAAATATTACCTGCACTTATCACTTTCTTGCATTAGCTTCTATGTTTGTATTTTGTTCTTTTGTCTGTGTAATGTGTGTATCCATATCCATGCTTGCACCAACCTATGAGTATGGTTGGAATAGTTGATCAAAATGAATCAAACAGTAAGAATTTCTAAGACAAGACCCATACCAACATTAAATATGCTTAGAGTATTAAATGCTTAATTTATGGGTTAGAAATATGGGTTCAGTATGACAGGTTATTATAAGGGTTCACTGTGTTTAGCAGGTACTGATTTGATGGATTGCAAAGCATAGCCGGCAGCTTTTCTCACCGAGGACGACCAGTTTGGACTCCTGGGACTTGAGGTGAATAATGTAGAAGGCACCAACGAACACAGCCAAGGCAATCAGTAACATGGGAGAGCTGATACTGAGGAGAAGAAACATCAAGAGTCCAATCAATCTTCAGGCTTAGTTATAATTGTAACACTTGTATGATGTATCTTTTTAGTCAATAATCAGTTTGTTCTGTTCCTCATTCTTTAATGTTTCCAGTGGCCAAACCCTTCCTGTGTGCATCACATACAGACTGTGTGAGTAAGAGCTAGTCTGCAGGAAGAGCAGTCCAACTGAAAAATATACACATTCAAATGAGTTCCTCTCCGTTGGCCTTACATGCAGTAGAGGATGAGACCCATGAAGATGAAGGTATAGTTGCTGTTGTAAGTATCCACATTTTTCACCACTCTCTGGCACAACTCTCCGAAGTTGCGTGGTTTCGAGAACTTGCGTTGGTCTACAAAGCTGGACCAAGGTCGAATGGACGCTCTGCGCTTGTCCATCCACTCTTTGGCCATACTGACTGAGAAGCCTTTGGGGAGCCAAAGCCTGGACAAAAGAAATGAAGAACAGAAAACGTAAACAAGTGTTTGATAACAATAATAAATGAAGAATGCAAAAAGCCTTACATAGAGGATACCTAGTGTTAATGTTAGCTTTACACAGCACGTGATTATTATGTGCTTTATATTAGAGGATGGACTTCCTCTTATAAGCTGCATGCAACGTAGACTAATAAATCCACAACAGCAGCAGAAGAGTAGGGTACAAGAAAGTACATTTGGGCGACATAGAGTCACCTTCCCACTTGTAGACTGCATTATTTTTTACTACTATGTAAAGAATTCAGTGCTTGTTACACGACAAACAAATAAAAAGTAGTGGGTAAAATAATAAGTCGTGGGTGGGTGGAGGTGGGGTCGTGTATGTGTATGTGTATGTTTTGTGAAGGTGTAAAGCGAGCAATAAAAAAAACTGTTAATAATTTTAAAAAGTTAAAATTAGACCCTTACTTTGCCAGGACCCCGGCTCCACCTGTTCCGGTTGGATGAGCATCCTCGGCGCTGAACAGATCTCCAGCCTTGCTGTCCATGTCTACAAGACAGTTCTCCCCCTTTGGAGCTCCAGATGGCATCTACAGACTTCCTGCTGCAGGGCAAAAGAAAACAGTTCAGACATAAAACATTTATAGCATTCTAACTGCAAATAGAAATGTGCGCGTGGATTTTCATTTTTTTGTCTACATAATGGGGGGAGGATGTATCAGCTGTCATCCGACAACAGACAGATTCATTTGATAAGTTAAATGCAGCCAAATAGTGCGTGTAATTAAAGTTTGTAAATAAAAGGAACAGAAAAACACATTTTTATTATTATTTACGAAAAGGTAATAATGAAACTGTTTCAGACAGTGAGTGAAGGGAAACATCCAGGTCTATTTATACAAAGTTGAGTTTGTCTTTTGTAAAAGATTACAAACATTCTGCAGTCTCAGCGTAATAATGAAGGGCTGATTTATTAATTTGTAGCTAATACATATTGTTTATATTAATTGCCTGCAAAACAAAACAAAACAAAAAAACAATACAAATACATCACTTTTGGATGAGTTAAATTGTGATGACTAGTTGTTCGAAATGGAGATACTTCATCAATAATTTAACCGACAATTGCATAAATCATGAATGATTGATTGGAAATGCAATTTCAAGAGTTGTAAAGAAAAGAGGGCGACGTCTTTTCACTGGGAAATTCAAACATTTAAAACAAAACGAAGCTAGTGTCAGAGTGTGTTTGAACTATTTTGTATATAAAAACAGTAAAGATTTTCTTAAATTCATATTCATACAGGCTGACAATACTGCATATGCATAGCACAGATGGAGCAGTACTAAAGTAATAGTTGTAGTACCATAGAGGCGTAATTATGGTCGCTGCCACATCACCAAACAGGAAATTGAAGATTAGAGAAAATTATTTACGCAATCCAATATCATTTAGGGGTTCGTTTTTCAAGTAAGCTTACGTAAAATAGCGGTAGGAAATGTTGTATAGTTAAAAAAAAAAAAAAAAAAGGGTTACTCATACAACTTTACTGGTTGTTAAGAGTGTAACTCAACTAGCTTCTCTGCTTACGTCCATGTTCACTAACAGGCTCAGGCAGACAGATCATTTAGAAACCCCAAAACTGCGCACGTCAATAAGAGGATGTTACAAACTGGTTGAAGTAATTTAATTGATCAGATATGTGTCGAAAATGTACTTACAGTTCAACTTTGATAGCCTCAGATCTTGTTGTTGCTGTTCTTGTTCACGGATGTGATATGGATTGCTTTTTTTAACTTCCTGTCCGGGCAGAAAACACAAAAACACCGCCACCCGATGACCGCACAGGGAAATGCCTTCTTTATTTCTTCGGTGGTGTTTGACAGCCAAAGACTTTGCATTACCGCCTACATCTGGATTTGTAGTAAAGCTACAGTTTATATGCTACTTCAACAATAAATGAAAAAAAAAGAAAAAAGAATCCTCTCTGTTACATCCACAATGACCAGCATCCACAACTTGCAGCCTTTCTTTCTGCCTCGGCAGCACAGTTTATACTCAAAGCAAATAAGGCGAAATGTTCATGTTGTGAACGCGACATTTTCCCTATTTGTTGGCTGTTAGAGTGTTTGTCTTCTCTCGAATATTTCTAGTGCTTTCCATCTCTTTTCTTGTAGTCTAACGCATCAAAAATCTCTTGGTAACAAACGTGTCCGAATCGTTTAATAATAATAATAATAATAATAATAATATGCTCTTTGTCGGTATATCGTTGGTGAGAGTCTGCTCCCCAAAAATAGGTGAAATGTGTGGTGGAAAACGATTTGTAAATTAACCAAAATCGATACAAATGTGACTGAAACCATTCCAGTAAAATACAGACCGCAGATCAGTTGTCTGATTTACAGCTCGTCCTACTTTATTAACAGCTCGTTGAGAAAATCTGACCCTGGGTCGGTAGATACAGAACGTTGAGCTGGCGTCATCGGGCAGGCGGAGGGATGTGATTGGTCAGTTCCTCCTTGTTATTGTGCTGCTGTCCTGCATGGCACTGTGGGAGTTCCCATACCACCCTTCCGCAAACGACCTTCCAGGTACGTTTAAACGTTTATTGTACCTTGGAAACTGCAATGTCAAGGTTTAAAACAAGTTTGGTTTTACGACACAGTGGATATCACCTCTTTATATGTTTGGCTGATGTTGCGACGCTTCTTGTGTGTCCCCCCCCCTCACAGAAACGTCGTTACGTAACGTACTGAGGTGGTTATTTGCTCAACGAGAGGAAGTCTTTGTGGCTTTTCAAACGACGACAACACAAACTCACAGCTGACTTCTCTGCTTTGCATTTTACATTAAAGCGTCGAGCTGACAACCACTGCAAGGTAGGACTGCTGCAAACAAAGCCCTTTGAACACGGTACAATGAAGTTCACTTAAGAGAAAAGGTTTGACGCTGAAGTATAACAAAAAATGACATTGGCTAAAAGCACACACGGGCTACTGTCGGGTTATGCTAGTTCCTAGCTTGCAAGGAATGTAGTTTGCGGTCTTTCATGCAATTTTTAGAGTAAGCATTTCAAGTGAGCTCATAACCAAGCTAACAATTAACTATATGGAACTGTATTACAGTACCTACAATGGGTTAAGCTGAGATGAAACTTTAGTTACAATATAGTTGGTAACATTCAGGTATTTCTTATTATTACAGTGACAAAGTTTGAGCTTTACATTTCTGTTCAGTGTGATGTTTATAATCTGTTTTGAAACAGGTGGAGAGTGGCTTTAGGGAAACCAGTGGCTGCAATGCATTGTCCAGGATACCCACCAAGACACTCTCTGTACTGGGAAGAAGCAGAGTGTCTCAACTACTATGGGATGTTGTCTCTCCATGAGGTCTTTGAAATAGTTGGTTCTCAGCTGACAGAGACTGACATTGAAGTCTTGTCATTTCTTCTGAGTGAAACCTGTCATGCCTCACACCCGCTTGACCTAGCAGGCTGGACAGTTGAGCCCTGTGAGGGGGATCCAGAAGACTCGGGCGTAGCCCCAAGCCCCGAACTGCAAAAGGCCTGGAGGAGGTTAAATCCTAAGAACTCCAGGGGTCACATACAGGCCTCATTTAAGCCCAAGAGTGGCCTTGAGCTTTTGTTAGAGCTAGAGAAGCAGGGTCACCTCAGTGATGGCAACCTGGAGCCACTACTGCAACTCTTGAGAGTCCTCACTCGTCATGATCTGCTTCCTTTAGTGTCCCACAAGAAAAGAAGGACAGGTAAGGATGAACCATCGGGTGCTCATGAAGAGTTTTTGGAATTACGTATGGTGCTTTGGCCGAATTGTCAACCATAACCAACAATCTTGTCTTAATGATTTTCAGTATCTCCTGAACGAAGTGGACAGAGGTATGGAATTGAGAATAGGGAGTTGATGTGCATCTCTGGTGTACAACACAGCTGCAGACAGACAGACATTCCTCTTCCATCTTTCACACAGCAACTGAGAACCGGTATGTACAATTGAGTAGAGTATCTTTTTTTATTTTTTTATTTCACAACAGTCAAAACCATATTCCCTCTATCATTAATTATGAAACATTAAACAATAGTTTTACTTGATGAATGGCACCTTGCTACATGCTTTACACTTGGGGAATTATAGGTATATTTTTCATCAGCTATTATCAAAAACTACCAAACATCGAGCAATTAACAGATGTCCCAAAGATAAGAACAGAAATATCTGCAATTTCTCTCAAATAAATTCAATGCATATTCTTTCAGGCATCTACCCTCCCATGCCTGGAACACCTGCTAGGAGGAGGAGGAGGAAGAAGAGGGGAAATTGCTGGAGCCGCAGGCCTAAGAAAACCCACCGACAGGACCAACCACCACCTCTACCACCATCACCACCCCTACATAAGGTGTCTTGTGGTAAGTGAAGTCACAGCATTCTTTACTTTTCTGCCCTTTTAGTTTTTCATCTCTTGCCCTTCTATCTTCATTCAGCCCTTTTCATTTATGGAACATTTTCACATCTCTTACTTATCTGTATAATAGTTTTAATTTTGATATACTTATGGTATGTCCAATATGACCACGTGTCCTTTTTTGTCTCCATACCGGTAATTCTTCTTTGAGGCCCAGATGAGTCTATGAATATTTGGGAGGTTTAGGACTTAACTAATAAGCTCCTCACATTACCAAAAAATGTGAGACAAACATCTTGTCCTGACAAGATCCCCGACTAGATACCTCAATTGTCAGAGAAAGTAAATTTGAGGATAAATGAATCCAGAACTCAATTATTAGAAATACTGTAATCCAGATGACCCAAATAATTAATATCAGCTGGCAACCAGTGCATCAACACTATAGAAGGAATTTGCTCACAAAAAAAAAAAAAAAACCTGTTAAAACACTCAAACTGCACAAAATAAATATGAAGGAAATTATTGCTAGTTGTGCCAGTGCTATTATTACATATTGTCACTGAATGCGGTAATATTGGCCAATATTTTCAGCTTCCCAATTAATCGGTTGGGCTCTATTTTATTTATTTTTAATGCACGATAGACCAAATTTACTTGCTTGAGGTAATACAACTATGTTTTTTCAGAATGTCAACCACCTTTCACTGTCTGTGCACTTGTTCTGATGTTCCATTTTTGTCTTAGTAATAATTTAAACATAAAGTTATTTACAACAATCAATTCAACTGTTGGACAAAAAATACTATGCCATCCTAAATTGGGTTTACTGGTATCTCCTTATCACTCATGGTGTTTCCATTGTCTCGCTATGTGAAGACATGCAATTGCTCCTTAACTGTCTTTCTTTAACATCAAACATGAGGGAGATTTTGTTGTCTTATCCATTTCTCTATGTGCTCTTTTTCACATTCTTTGCCCTTCATTTCACCTTAAGTCTACTCTAACCCACTGGACTAGGTTCAGCTGCTGCTGTGAATAAGAATCCAACTGGTAGGGAATTCACCTGTACTTGTTTTCTTTTTCTTTTCACTATGTACTGAAAGATGCTGGCCAGCCAACGCTAGATGCAGCTCCTGTTTGCTTTCTTGTCAATCTTGATACAGAGTTGTCACAATAGTCAACTTTCAAACCTTGCATATCTTTTTGAGCAATTGTTCAAAACTTTCTAACTCCACTAAAAGCTGCACTATGAAATCAATGCCCTGTTCAACATTTCAAATCTTGCCTGCCTGTTAATCAATCAAGGCTAGATGTTCTTTGCACAATAAGATTAAGATGAATCTAACATCAGTTGGCCTTTGTGTGACATTTGTTTTTTTCATTCATGCAGACCTTCTCACGCATTTCTTTTGAATGTCCCTAATTGCCTTCTGGTCAGAAATATGTACTTCAACAAACGAATGATAATTCAATTCTGAAATTAAAACAAAACAAACAAGACCTAACAACAAAGACAGCCCCTCTTAGCTGTTCAGGATGAGTGATGTGCCTGTTACTATAAACATGTTGCTGTCTTGACTGCACATTTGATTCCACCAGGTTGACTCAGGATTGTGACTCAGTTTGGATAACCTAAGACACAAAGGATCGTGGAGACACAGGGGGAGTCTGAGGAACAAAACAAATAAAGTGTGTCACCCCGCTCTGTCCATACATTCAGCCGTGTGTGATCAACTCAGGCATGCGCTCTCTCACAAGTCTGGGCCGATGCCTAAGGTAAAAGAGGCTCTCCCCTCCTGTTACAACAGCGGTTATTGCAGCCACTTTACTCTATGTTCGATGCTTGTGTATCACAATGTAGCTGACCCCTACCCTATTCCCTGATTTGCTCTTAAAAGACCTTCCTGTAATGTTGTGCACTGTGGATGAGAGATATTTTATGTTTTTAGAGTCCTCCTTATTCTATTCTGGAATGGGTCGTTAGTTCTGTGAAACACTCGCACCGAGTCCTTAGTTTTCAGCTGATGTAAATGGCAGTCGTGTCAAAACAATAATCTCAAAGAGATCACTTTAATGAAAAGTAATGGAGATGAATGTTCAGAGAGTGTTTTTTTAAATTTTCACCTTAATTGAATCTGGATAATCAAAACTTCATTCAGACCAACTCTGTAGTTTAAAACGATGCAAATGCTGATTTGGCAAAGATACTCATCCTTTTATAAGGAGTGGCCATAAGTTCGGTTTCAGAGAATCTAAAATGGCTGCCAACAGATGGCTATAAAAGAAGAGCCAGTGTAACCTTTACTCAAGCAGTTCTGAGGAAAATAACCCAACAGGGCTCTGATGATGGAAGCTCCTGCTGTATCTTATCTCTGTGCCCCGTATGAAACCTGGGCAGTTGTTT